AGGGCTCTGACTGTTCTGGGCAGGGCTCTGACTGTAGTGGGCGTGGCTCTGACTGTAGTGGGCGGGGCTCTGACTGTAGTGGGCGTGGCTCTGACTGTAGTGGGCAGGGCTCTGACTGTAGTGGGCGTGGCTCTGACTGTAGTGGGCGGGGCTCTGACTGTTCTGGGCAGGGCTCTGACTGTTCTGGGCAGGGCTCTGACTGTTCTGGGCGGGGCTCTGACTGTAGTGGGCAGGGCTCTGACTGTTGTGGGCGTGGCTCTGACTGTTGTGGGCGTGGCTCTGACTGTTCTGGGCGGGGCTCTGACTGTAGTGGGCGTGGCTCTGACTGTTCTGGGCGGGGCTCTGACTGTTCTGGGCGTGGCTCTGACTGTTCTGGGCGTGGCTCTGACTGTAGTGGGCGTGGCTCTGACTGTAGTGGGCGTGGCTCCGGCTGTAGTGGGCGTGGCTCCGGCTGTAGTGGGCGTGGCCTCGGCCGGCCCCGCCCCCGGCCCGCCCCGAGCACACCTCGAAGGTTCTCACGGCCCCGCCCAGCTCCGCGTCCAGCGCGCTCAGCTCCTCCCACTGCGGGACACACGGACACACGGACACACGGACACACGGACACACGGACACACGGACACACGGACACACGGACACGGGGACGGCAGGTGTCTCACCTGGCCCGGCGTCCCACCTGTCCAGGTGTCTCACCTGTCCCACCTGTCCGTGTGTCCCACCTGTCCCACCTGTCCAGGTGTCCCACCTGTCCCACCTGTCTCACCTGTCCCACCTGTCCGTGTGTCCCACCTGTCCGTGTGTCCCACCTGTCCGTGTGTCCCACCTGTGTCACCTGTCCCAGGTGTCCCCAGGTGTCCCCAGGTGTCCCCAGGTGTCCCTAGGTGTCCCACCTGTCCCACCTGTCCCTGTTCCACCTGTCCCACCTGTCCCACCTGTCCCACCTGTCCGTGTGTCCCACCTGTCCGTGTGTCCCACCTGTCCCACCTGTCCCACCTGTCCGTGTGTCCCACCTGTCCGTGTGTCCCACCTGTCCCTCCCCCTCGGGATGAACCGTCCAGCGCAGCTCGCTCGTCTCCAGCCGCGTGTCCAGCAGCGTCTCTGGGGGGTCAGTCCCAAAATCACTGAATCCCACCCCAAAAACACCCAAATCACCCCAAAAACTGAAAATTCCACCCCAAAAACAACCAAATCCACCCCAAAATCACCCAAATCACCCCAAAAACTGAAAATTCCACCCCAAAACCAACAAATCCCACCCCAAAAACACCCAAATCACCCCAAAATCACCAAAATTCACCCCAAAAACTGAAAATTCCACCCCAAAACCAACAAATCCCACCCCCAAAACACCCAAATCACCCCAAAAACTGAAAATTCCACCCCAAAAACAACCAAATCCACCCCAAAAACACCCAAATCACCCCAAAAACTGAAAATTCCACCCCAAAACCAACAAATCCCACCCCAAAAACACCCAAATCACCCCAAAAACTGAAAATTCCACCCCAAAAACACTGAATCCCACCCCAAAAACACCCAAATCACCCTAAAAACTGAAAATTCCACCCCAAAACCAACAAATCCCACCCCAAAACCACCAAAATCCACCCCAAAAACTGAAAATTCCACCCCAAAAACACTGAATCCCACCCCAAAACCACCCAAATCACCCCAAAATCACCAAAATTCACCCCAAAACCTGAAAATTCCACCCCAAAAACACTGAATCCCACCCCAAAAACACCCAAATCACCCCAAAAACTGAAAATTCCACCCCAAAAACACTGAATTCCACCCCAAAACCACCAAAAACATCCCAAAACCAAAAATTCCACCCCAAAAACACTGAAATCACCCCCAAAACACCAAAATCACCCCAAAAACCCAAATTCCACCCCAAAACACCAAAACCATCCCGAAGTAAAAAATGCCACCCCAAAAGCATCCCCAAAAACCTGAAATCCACCCCAAAAACCCCCAAACCCGCCCCAAAACCATCCCAAAAAACCCAAATCCACCCCAAAAACCCCAAATCCACCCCAAAAAACCCAAATCCACCCCAAAAACCCCAAATCCACCCCAAAAAACCCAAA